AATTTTATACTCATCAGTAGATGTCTTGTACTTAACACCTGGATCTTCTTCAAGCTTCTTCATGAGATCAAAATAGCTGGAGGTCAAAAGATTGAAATGAGCTTGGAGCTCAGAGATCTGTTTGGTCTTTGTAGCTCTATCTTCTTGGAGATCTGAAATTTGAAGCTTCAAATTAGTATTCTCACTCAAAAGTTCTTCAACTCGGATGTTGTGCTCAATGTTTTTCTGATCCATCACATTTACTCTCTTCTGAAGTTCGTCGATCACATAATTTTCATCTCTAGACTGGCCTTATCTAAAGGCAATTCCTTTGGCCTTAGAAGCAGTTGCAGCGGTTTGTTCTTGAGCCAAAAACTGAGCCAAACGTACGGAAGCTTCTTCGAGATCTGCCCTTGGGGGAGAAAACCCTGGTGGAACAGAGGAACCACCTGTTTCAAAAATGGTACTAGGGCCTTCACTTAACGGTTATGCAGTTACAGTATCTGGAGTGGTAGTTGGAGTAATAGGCACGCCTTGAGAAAGGCTAGAATCCAGAAGCCCGAACCCAGGATCACGTCGTCTTCTTTTGGATGGGGGTTGCACAGTCTGGTCTGTTGATTGATCATCTTGAAGTGGTTCAGATATAGGCAAAACACTGTCAAGGGGAGGAATCCCTGACACTGTCACCGTCGGAGTTGTAGAACCAACCACTTGCTCTTGAGAAATGGGGGTTGAATAAAAAACGTCTTCTTTTTACCTTGTGTCCGTTGTTGGGATAGCAACATCATTGACATTCTCCAACAGAGTGTTGAGATTTACGCTTGTTAAGAAATCATCATTTTTTCCAAAAGTTGCAGGAATGTCATCTTGATCAAAACCAGTAAGATCAAGGTCTTCAAATTTCTCAGCCTCAGTCATATTAACAGAAGATCCCTCATTATAGTCACTTTCAATGTGCACTGATCTTAGAACATGTTCCTTAGCTACAACCACATTGGGATATCCCTGTCAAAAATACCCGTTACCCGAATTACCCATCCGATTTTTTCGGGTAACGGGTAAATCAGGTCGGGTAAATCGGGTGTCGGGTTAATTTTTTCGGGTAAGTGGGTAACCCGAATTTTTTTCGGGTAGGGTAAAGGGTAAGTTGTTTGGGTTTCGGGTATACCCGATTACCCAAAATATATATAAGAAATAATGTCCCTTTATGAGTTTATCTAACCCTCTCAATTCCCAAATCCCAATTTCCCTCGTTGAGGCTCGTTCTATTTTCCCCACGTCAAAAAACCCTCATATGTCGTCCGCTCTTCGTTGGTATTCGTCACCAATGGATGATTATATTGAAGCAGAAGATGAGACAATTGAAGTTGACAACCCAACCAATGAGCAAGTTCCACAAGAAAAATAGAAAAAAAATAAAGAATTCAACCCAAGATCGAAAGTTTGGAAATAATACTTGATATCTCAGATATTATTGAGTAAAAAATCTCAATGTTCAAAGTTTAGCACGACATACTTATTTCATTACATTTATTTTTAGGTGCCATTAAAAAATAAAAATAAAAATAAAAATCGGGTAATACCCGAATTACCCTTACCCGACCCATTACCCGAATTACCCATACCCGAATTACCCGAATTTAATTTGGGTAGGGTAACGGGTAAATTTTTTTATATGAAAAACCCGAATTACCCGAAACCCGAAAAGTTTACTCGATCAACACCCCTACATTGGGAGCGGTTGTCTCCTCCCCTTCTTGATCCGATACTAAGCTTGAAATGGGACTTTACTCATAAACAAGGGTTCCTTCATGACCCTATAAAGAACTTTATGAACTTGGGGCTCAAAAGAGGTTCAGATCTGAAGTTTCAACTTTAGATCTAGCTCCTATACCATAATCCCTTCATGAATAGCTAAAGAAAGCCCTAATCTTCACATATGAAAGATTCTAAAAGAAAAGAGGTCAAGGTAACATCTTGTTACCTCCAAAATGTGCCAAAGTTAAAGTAGACTCTGGATCCACACGAAATCCTTGATGCTAGCCTCTTGATCTACAAGTTTCCTTCACAAAATCACTTCCCAAAGCTCCAAAACACTCTCCAAGCTCACACTCACGGAAATTAGGGTTTCTAGCTCTCAAGGGATGATAGAGGACAGTGGGAGGCGCTAATGGCCCAATATATAGGGTGCAAAAACCCTAAAATTTAGGGTTTCCTCTGCTAGCTAATACTCGTCGAGTCCCCATGCCGACTCGTCGAGTCACTCATTAAATGACGCGTCCTAACCCGCTGCTACCTAACGAGTCACAACGTCAACTCGTCAAGTAGACCTTAAAACATGAAATCTAAATGGAATAATAATGATACCTGACAATTGGGATGTTACAGTTTTCCTTGTAAGTTTTAACATAGGTGTTAAAAGCGTAGGATTTATATCAACTCCGGTAATACACACTTTCATTTAGGCCCTTATTAGGCTAAATGCAAAAAAAAAGGCAATATACTTTTTGTTTTACTATCTTTGTTAAATACTGAATATTTAAGATTTTTTGAGGTTATTGTGTACCGTGCAGGTTTATAATATAACAATAGAATCATTGAATTTTGTTAATATATTTTTTTTGTAAATATTTAATTAGTCATTACGTTTTCAAATTATAAATAGTGTTTCAAATTATAATTAATATTTTTTTTTAATATTTGATTAGTCCTTACGATTTTGAATTATATATATTCTTTTTTCTTTATTAATCGTGGTTTCCACGGATTTTAAACCTAGTAGATAATAGATCAAATTATTACGTCGCTTAAAAGAAGATTTGAACAATTTAATGAGTTCAAACATATTTTTGGTTTTCTATTTAGTATAAAAAAACTAAAATCATTTTATGAAAATACTTTAAAAGAACATTGTTGAGATCTTTAAAACATGATAATAACTTAGATATTGACAATATAGATTTTTTTCAAAAACTAAAACTTTTAATACATATTGTACATTTAAAATGTGAAGCAATTATTAATATAGTTCGTTATATTTAAAAGTTTAGTTCTTTTCCAAATGTATATATTGTCTATAAGATTATATTAACTATTCATGTAACTTTTGCCTTTACAGAAAGAAAATTTTTCTAAATTAAAATTATTAAAAAAATATTTAAAATCTTTAATATCACAACAAATATTAAATTGATTAACTATTTTGTCAATTGAAAAACATTTAATAAAAGAAATTGATTATGAAATTTTATTAAAGATTTTACGTATAAAAAGACTAGAAAAATTAACTTAATATCATAAATATATTCACAAAAAACATTTATATAATAAAAATATAATAACTCGGTTATTTATATACTTTAACTTTTTAGTTTATTATTGGAATATTAAGCCTAAGGCTGGAGGGAGTGGTGTCACTAAAACCGCACTCTCTCCCCCGCCACATAAGCGTCATGTCACTTTTTACCATTCAAGTGTGGTTTCTTGCCACACCAAGGATGTGGTGCCACACTTTTCATTTATTTTATTTTTTTGTTTTTCAAGTATTTTAATTTAATAAAACTTCCTTTTTTTAACTATTTTAATTTAATATAACTTCTATTTTAATAAAAAAAAACATAATTTTTCATTACTTGAAAATTAATATATATATAGTACGTTGCGTTACTTAAAAAAAATTAAAAATTAAAAATTAAAAAAAAAAAAAAAAAAAAAACCACACACACACATGACATTTAAATAATCCTAGAAACTTAAAAAACCTAAATAAAATAACTAAAGCAAACTACGTAAAGTCGTTCTCCGAGAACTTGTCTTCGGGGTCATCCGGTGGATCCAAATTAAGGTTAATGTTTTGAACCCCGTAAATGTGTTCTACCAAGTCATTGCGAAGATTGTGAAATGTTTCAGTGCAACGTATCTCTGCTCTCCTATTTATATACTCTTCGCCGCCAATTTTTATTGGTTGTGTATCCGGTATGGTTTCTTCCTCGTCAAACACACATATCGCTCTTCCTTCGTCTTCAATAATCATGTTATGCAATATAATACATGTATACAGGGTTTTTTTTTGAATTTTTTCCTCATCTAAATAAGTTGTTGGTTTTTTCAATATCTGGAGCTGAAAACGATTTAACAAACACATCATACTCATGATAGATTCCATCGACCAGATAATAACCATACTTATATGGCGTTCCACGCACTTGAAAAGAAGAATCTGCTGCGGATCCATCGTATATGTTGTTAAATATTAGTGAACAGTTAAGAACGTTGATGTCGTTAATCGAACCAGGAGAACCAAAAAAAGCATATCAAATCCAAATATCTTGTGATGCAACCGCTTCAAGTATGACCATTGGGTGACCATGATCACCTCGGGTAAATTGTCCATGATATGTTTTAAGGCAATTTTCCCAAGCCCAATGGAGACAATCTAAGCTTCCTAACATTCCAGGAAACCCATGCACACTAGCATGATGAGCTTGCAATTGCAGGATGTCATTACGTGTAGGCTTACGTAAATATTTTGAACCATTAAACTGAATCACAGTTTTGCAGAAAAAATGGAGACTGTCTCGTGCTATCCTAGCAGACATCCTAAAACTTTCGTCTAACGCATCATGCGGAATGTCATATGCTAACTGACGAAGTGCGGTCGTGCATTTTTGTAAGGGAGTGAAACCGAGTGTACATCTAGCATCGTAGCGTTGTTGGAAAAAACTGCACTCCCTCGTTACATCTTCAATTATACATTCGAACAAACCTTTGAGCATTTTGAAGCGCCTACGAAAATAATACCCTTGGTAAGTGACATTCTCTGCAAAATAATCTTGCACCAAACGTTGGTTGGCTTCTTCACGATTTCTGTAAATATATCTTCGTGTTCTCAGTTGAGAACTTGCAATAACGGTATCAAAAATAATCTTAAATTCTTCAGAAGATAAAGAAAATGACTTTTTTGAGAGAGTGGTGATTTTTTTGAGAGGGAGAAGAGATTGTGTTGTGAAAAAAAAAATTGATACGTATATATATAGGAAAGAAAAAGAAAAAAAAATTAAGTGCTCAACGGCTCAATCCACACCATATTGCCTCAACCAATCAAAACACACGGCTTTGGAGGACCGCACCAGACCGTGGTCTAGGGGCGATGTTCCCGTCCTATGTAGCACGAAGTACGGTCTTGGATCGCACCCACACCGATGAGCATAATAAAAATCAAAAGTCCCAAATAGTTTGCAACTAACTTGAGACATAAGCAAAATTGCACCAATTACTACTAATGCATCGAATGAAATTAGACAAACATAAACTTTGCAGCCAGTTTTTCAATCTCAATCAAGCTTTACAAGAAATTAGTCAACACTAAGTCGACTCCAATATTCGCCTAAAGTGATGCTCCTTTGAGCTTCCACAAGACAATTAAGAAGCTAGCATAGTTATCTAGCGCCACCCCTTTCTTGAACACGCCCTTCTGCTGCTCCTCCCCTTCCCTCTCTCCTCAAACCTTCCCGGTGGCAACCCGCCTGTCTTCAAACACCCACAAACAAAAACACCATTCATTGTTAGATTCATTAACACATCAAATTCAAGATTTGAACTAAAAAAAAACCAAGAATAGTGTACACCAACCCCTATGCAAAATCCTTGAAACTGAGCATCTTCAACCTTGGTATTTGACATCTCTGAGGAACCTCGCTTGTTAGAAGTCAAACTTTCACCACAACTTGAAAACAAAGACGAATGAGAAGTCGCACTTCCTGATTGAGAAGAAGAGCTAAGTGATTCAATATCACTTTCAAACATCTCCTCAAACAAATCCTTTAGTTCCTGAAAAGCCTCCTCCCCATTTTCCTGTTTTACACCATAAACCAATTTCAAATTTTGTATTTTTTTTTTTTTTTTAAATCAAGATTCTGACAAAAGCACGTCACTTTCAATCTTTCATATCAAGAGTGTTTACTAGAAGAACACAGGCTCACCCTCTTGGACCACAATATATTCGGTTTACAAATTAAGTTGATTTAACATAACAAGCAAGAGACATGAATAGTTTGAGTTAACATCAAGAAGGGCCTACTATACTATAATGGCTAAAAGGTGTATACCACCAACTACCCTTTAAAAGGCCTACTAAAATTAAGATTGCAATGAACCAAAAGTTTGGAGTTTTGGACCAATTTACCCTCACCCTCCATCTTTATATTACGTTTCGACAACTAATTAAGGACCATTTTATCATCACTAAAGTGTGGGAAGCTTATTCCACCATTAATTTTGGTTCCAAAAAGGTTCAATCGTAAAAGTGGTAGAAAAAAGTAAACTTACAGCAGGTTTGTTTTGACTCATCAGAACTGCCATTTCGCTCAAGAAATCAGCCATCCCCTGCTTCCAGTTTCATTTATCAGTAAACTACACAATCTTGATTCTTATGGGCAATTTCAAGATTAGGAAATGTAACTCGAATGGAAAGTTTCTTGTATCAAAATGTTTTGAGATCCAATCATAATTCTTCTCATTAAACAATTCTTTCTTTTGTATGGTGGCCCAGTTTCAGGTTAAAAGTTAAAGGAACATTGTGTATGAATTGTGTCCAACGAGGAACTTACATTTTCGTCATCATCACTATCATAAACTCCTACATCGTACATGAATCTTTTGTTGGCATTTGAAAGCACTATGAAACAGAAAAATATGAAGGAAGTAAGTCAACAACTTCTGAAACTCAATTATAAAAACCTCAAAAAGAATCCGTCTTTTTTAAGTATAAACATCTTTACGTAATCCAAATCGATCTCTAACATCATGAGCAAAACGAGTACATATGGAAATTACCAGAATAGGCTTCTTGTATATCTTGGAACTTCTTCTTTGCCTCTTCCACGTGCTTGGAATCACCAAACGCCAAACAACGATCTGGATGCCACCTCTGTAAAAAAAAAAAAAAAACACATAATTTGAGAATACAAAGTATTCAAGTAAAAGATTTATTTGAGAAAATATCTCGAAAATAAAAGTTCTAACCAGTGCAAGCTTCTTGTAAGCGTTCTTGAGCTCTGCTTCGGTGCATCCCTTCTCTAATCCCAAAACTTGATAAAAATCATTACTTTTTACACCATTTTCACCCATTTTACAAATCAATGAAATACTCTAAATAAAGATACAGAATTCAATCGTTTGGCTTCTTGAAATAACAGAGAGCTGTTATAGGCTGCTGAGCATCTTTGACCGAGTAAAACACGGAAACAATGGAAAGCTTATATGGGGATAAAGAGCAGACGAAATGAGTCAGCATCAACCAACCCACCACCCATGAATGGTATGTACGCTGAATGTCGCAAGAACACTCGAGAAAGAAGCTATAAATATATATATATGTCAAGTTGCAGAAGAGAAGAGTGTACATAAAGGTAGAGTTTTTTTGTAGGATTAGGGCTATTGGATTGGAATAGATCAACGGTTTGCGTTGATTTCTGGGGTTAAGATATTTTTGGGGTGTAATTGTGTGGGGCCCTTTCTCTCGAGAAACTTCTGTTTTCACTAAGTTTAATTGTATGGAAAAGGTTGGAAGTTGGTGTAGGACCATTTAAAGCAATTGACATGAATGTTGAATTCCTAGGTTGATAGGAGACACTAATTTATTAGTTGTTTTTTATTTTTTATGATTTTGAAATGAAAGATGATTAGAATACTTGAAGTATAATCTTGGCGAATCATCTCATGATGTATTTAGATATTCAGATTTAATTGTTTAATAATGAAACACTGAACTTTCAAAGGTTATAATTGAACAACCAAATTATATATCAATTGTTTCTTTTTTCATAGAATTTTTAAAATTTTTAAATTTATAATAAAATTGAACAACCAAATTATATTAAGAGAAATTAAGCCTTTGAAATGATCAATCAGTTAACATCATCCAGTTAAATCAAGATTTTCTTAACCAAGAAACTGTTCAGGATATTAAAAAAAAAAACATGGTTCTAAAAAACACGGTGCATTTTAAAGTGTGTCATGACGCAAAACATGATATAGTTGTTATGAAAACGTTTAAGGCGGGTTTGTTAAGCGTAACGCCCAAATAACTATCAATGTGCGCCTTATCGCATTATGGCACGAGTTTTTTTTTTCCAAAGCACGAATTTTTTGTTTTTTTTTATTAGGCCTAAAATAATTGAGTTTATGTTACTTTTTTTATATTAAATATTAATATAACACTTTTAAAAAATTGATATATTTGATAAAATTCAATAATTATATGATTTATCTTTTAATGTATATAAAATAGTCACGTCTTGAAAAACGTTATTGTTCGTCAAGGATCGTCATTGTTTAACTTTGACATTGTCATCAAATTCACGTGAGGTCTCATGTTATTTAGAACCTCGTTAAAAATGGATTATGAGCTCTTTTAATCATATGTGTTTTTCTAGAATCTATCTTTTCTAATAAATAAAACTTACCACATGCCACATGTCCTTTTTTTACACTTCTATTTTGCCTCTTGGGATCTTCTTATGAAGCTTTCCCTTTAATTCCTGCTTATTTCTTGGTCATTATTTCGTTCCAACTTGTTGTATACTCCCCTATAAATCAACAAATTAATTCTAAATTTGAAGTTTGACAGAGTTTATTAATAGACTTTCCATCTGAATAGCAATTAGTATTTCTTTTATACCCAATATCCCAAATTTTGTGGAAGAAAAGAAAAATCTTCTCCATAAATATCATTGTTGCCTCCTTTTCTTTCTAAAAACCCTAAGAAATCGACTTGCCACATGATTCTCACACCGCTGATGATACTTCCAGCCAGCCACTTGCTTTAGTCTTTAACCAAATTCTAACGTCGATCTCTCGAAATTCATTTACGACCACCATGGATTGTATGGCTTGGTTACATGTTTAATTTCGAACATGAATTATATTAGGTTATATATATATATATATATATATATATATATATATATATATATATATATATATATATATATATATATATATATATATATATATATATATCGGTCAGATTTGGATTGCTATTAACAAAATTTTGTAGACTTTGTTTTATAGAACCGAAATTGTTTTAAGACACAGAGGTGAATGCTCATATAAGGTTTCTCTTTAATTTATGTATCTCAACTTTTTTTCTCTCTCCATCTATCATCTTTTTCATGTGATTTTCTATTTAATTTCTTTGTTTCTCTAAGCGAAAATTTTGAATCCAGTGCTTATATTTGTCCCCCTATTTAGGCTTTTTTTAATAAAATTTCACCACTCTTGTGCTGCTATAGAAGCCCATATGGGTATAACGTAGAAACCCTAATCACTATGGGGGAAATTGTTTGTTGTTCTATTCACCCTATTATTTGTTTTTTGTTTCTTATTGTTTGTTGATTGCAATTATTAAAACATTAGTATTTGATTTCTCTATTATTGATAATTCTTGCTAATTGTAGTTAACAATCAGTTTTCCAAACACTTTGGCGAGCGCTATTACTCAATGAACCCCTACCAACTGTAACGGAGATAATTCTAAAGAGCGACAATCACCATTACCTTTTGATGGTAACATTTACATAAATTGTATTTATTTTCCCATGTTTTTCTCATATTCTAAATTGTAATCTCATATAGTTTTGGATAGGTCATAGGTTTTTTGGACATTTGTTTTAGGTATATGTGTACACTGGATCATCAACCCTTGATGATTTTTAAGAGCCACAGTCGGACTCTTCCCTGCTATCTTATTTTGGTAATTTATAAATCTTAAATTGATATGCAATTCAAAACCTATTACTCATTATTTTCTTTATTTCCTATTTTCTAATGATGATTAACATGTATAAAGATATTTTGTTGTTTCTATTTTTTAGTTCATGTTATTGTCTTACTCATAAGGTCTTAAGGGCTTCATATTCTTGCCTTTTTATGCGGATATCTTTAGAAAACAACCGATCAAAATCAATGAAAATTGAAATTTATTTCCTTTGGTGTTATTTATATTGGATGTCTTTGTGCTTTACACCCATGTCGATAGTTATTACAATGTGCCAATGGGGATTTAGATGCAAAAGAATAAAAGTTTTATCAAATTACTAATTTTAAAGTTACATGAAATGGAGCATATGGAGCGATAAGTTTAAAGATAAAGTTAGACCATAAGCTTAAAGCAGTAAAGCATATAAAAACGTATTGTGGGTTATGTTTATACTTCTATTTTATTATCCTATACTATTTGTAAATAAATACTTTATTTGACTATAAACCACATTTATATATAATTTGTTTTCCTCTATTTCTAACTTCACCAATTATGTGCTCTTTTTCCCCTTCCCCTGTTTCTAACTTCTTTTCTCCATAATTTGTTTCCATCAACTCACTAGACTTCAGACTTGAGTTTAACTCCAACTATATATATATAGGTTATGAGAGATATAACACCAATATCTTATTGTTTCCAATAATAGTCTTTCTTATTAAGCCATTGTACTTTGGAAAACTGTTTGATTATAACAATGAAAGTTACTTTTTAATTTTGATGACATTGCTGTAATTTGGTAGATTAACTCACCTACAAATATTTTTACAATTTTCGGCTTTAAATGTGTTCCTTTAGCTACTCTAGCTTCACTATAGCATCCAATTTTCATATTTTTCATATTACAACATAACATTTAAAAAAACTACCTATCTTAGTTGTGTCAACCTCAATGTTTGTGTGGTTTGATGTTAAAATTCTAGAACAATAAATTCGAATCCCATGTTTATCAATCATACTCGGGAAAGGAAGGGAAATCAAAACTGACACAACCTTTATATCAAAAAATGTTATTATTTTGCTAGAAAATGGAATAATAGAAGTATGTTGATATTTACTGAATAGTAAATTCCTAAAACGGATTTTGAGGAAAAGTAAATTTTTACTCATGCAGTTTGACCATAACACTGGGATATGTCATATAGGGTTGTTATTTATGCAATCTCATACCGTATAGTAAATTCCTAAAATTATTCATTTGTGCAATTACATATTAATATTAGACTTAAGAGTTAAGAGTGTTTGGTTGGGTTAAAAATTAAAAACCTATAGATATCTTTCTTTGTAGGCCATCTACTAATGATTATCTACCTATTATAATAAACGACCGTGGTTTCCACGTAATGAATGGTTATCTACCTATTCTAATACGATTTGAAAATAATGGTTATCTACCTATTCATATAAACGAAACCTAAAAATGCAAAATGTCAATTTTCTAGCATGCATTTTTGACATGTGATATTTTTCTATGATTTCTACATTTTTTTTTGTTACAAATCGATTTCAATTCAAATTTTGAAAATACAATATTTTTTTCCTGATGATATTTTCGAAATATATGATAAAGTATTTTGTTTATTTTACTCAAAAAAATTAATTCATAATTAATTACAATCGATGATATGATGAAAATTTTTAACATTTTTTATTTAATATAATAATTTTAAACATATTGGTAGTAGTTTCTACATGTTATAACCTAGTTAGATATTATAGTCTAATAATCTAACATAATAATACTCAATAAATAAAAGTAAACCTTTTATTTTGAAATAATTGATGTTACAATTTCTTTACTCCTAATAATTTGTCTTGACTTTTGAGACTAGAAAGTTCTGTTTTTAAATAGTATAAAGTCGTTCACATTAGAGACTTGAAGAAGCCCACTTGCCAATAAAGAAACGTACGTGGTTTTCTTTTTTGGAAAATAAAAGAAATAAAAGTGTGATGCAACTTGGATATGCAGCTATCAATCCGCAAGTTGCGAGCAAGCTACAGATGCATCTCATTTAGACACTCCTCACATTACCCAAAATCATGTTCATTAGTTCATATGAAAAACTGTTGTTAATTGATCGGGTAACTTTTAACTACAAAAATACACTAGTTTATTGTAAATTGATGTTTTGTTAAAACCACAAAAATAACTTGTTTATAAACTAACTTATAAATTAGCTTATAAGTTAGTTTTGGATAACTATTTTGAAATAGATTTAAAGAAGCTCATGGAGTTTTTTCAACAATATTCCAAATATGTCATTAGTTATATATAATGTTAGTTTTTAATTTTATATCTAAATGTGTATTTATATCATTTTACATTTACAATCTAACTTTACTATTTTTTACTAAACACTATCGATTCATAAGTTAACTTATCAAAGGAGCGGACGCAGGATTTTGCAGTAGAGGTTGCACGGTAGTAGAAAAAATAATATTTTTGAAAAAAATTTCACTGCCGCCAGAAAAGTGTGGGATTGTCGGTGCCACCATGGACACCTCCTAGGTCCGCCCTTCACTTATCAATTACCAACTAGGTTTTTCAGCTAGTCTGACAAACGGAACGGATCCTTAAATGTAGAAGTAAGATTATATTTCAGCTTCTTAGGATATACAAAATCTCTTGAGTAATCTAGATCTTACATGCTCTACTATTTTTCATAAAAGAAGGAAAAAAAAATATATCAATATGTATGTCCAGCCTC